CATTTCGTTTGGTTGTAAATTCATTTTTAGGAAAATTCAAAAGTTTAAATTATAGAGAAATAGTAGACGATTTATTGATAAACTTTTCAAAAATAGGTAAACAGTACATTTTATAATTTGATTATTTTCTGAATAAAAGATACATGTATATTTTTTAATTTTATCGGAAATAGGGGTTAAAATGTCATTAAAAATAGAATTTTTTCATGCACACTTAGATTTTTTTCCTGAAAATCTTGGAAATGAAAGCGATGAGCATGGTGAACGTTTTCATCAACAAATAAATGATATAGAACGTCGTTACCAAGGGTTTTGGGATGAAGCAATGATGGGTGACTATTGTTGGTTTCTTATAAGAGAAAGCAATGAAACATACAAAAGAAATATTAAGACTAATACGTCCTATTTTTAGTTCAATAAAAATTATTCTTTGGTTATCATAAAACTAATTACAAAAAATATCATAGCGAAAATTATAATTGTTTTCCTATTTGTAAAACTTAATTATTTATTTTATTAATTATATATTAAATTTACTATATTTAAAATGATTTTCTAAATCCATGCTAAAACAATTTCAATTTTCTTAATTCTATAGAAAATTACTTTATATTTTTANAGTTTTGCACGTTGTTCAGCGTCTTGTCGTTGTGGTATTATTTATTATTGAAAAGGCTGCTCCGCTGTGTGGAAGAAGAAGAAAGCTGTTCCGCTGTGTTTTAGTGTTGTTCGTCGTTTTGAGCGTCTCGTCGCTGTTTTATATTGACGTTGTTCAGCGTCTCGTCGCTGTGTTGAAGAATAAAGCTGCTCCGCTGTGTTGAAGAAAACTGCTCCGCTGTGTTGAAGATAGCTGCTCCGCTGTGGTTGATCGTTATTCCATGGACGTTCATTATTAGTTTTTCCTGTGTGTGTTACGTTTTGCTCTACGTATTAACTCACGTGCGGTTTACTGTGCTTATACCAACTGCTCAGTTTGTATTAAAGACTTTCTTGTAAGTAAGTTATATGGATCTCGATTCCATTATGAGCAATTGTGCGCTTTGCTGAAATCGTTTGTATGGTTATACATCTATAGCAGCTCAGCTCAATTACCAGTATCGTTTCTCCCTTTTATTTATATATATATATATTGTTATTTTGCAATACTATCTTGTTTATGTTAACATTACATGTAATATATTTTATTGTGTATAAAAAAGGAAACAAGTGATTATTACTTTATTGCTTAGTAAGGATAAGTTCTAGTATCGTTGCCGCCAACCGCTAGCCAGGAGCGGCACGGTCAAACACAATGAAACATACAAAAGAAATATTAAGACTAATACGTCCTATTTTTAGTTCAATACAAATTATTCTTTGGTTATCATAAAACTAATTACAAAAAATATCATAGCGAAAATTATAATTGTTTTCATATTTGTAAAACTTAATTATTTATTTTATTAATTATATATTAAATTTACTATATTTAAAATGATTTTCTAAATCCATGCTAAAACAATTTCAATTTTCTTAATTCTATAGAAAATTACTTTATATTTTTAGAGAATTATCATTTTTTTTAAATACGAAAATTTATTACAACCCCATCAAACAGTAAAATTAACTCAATTTAAAAATATCCCAATAAAACTATATGAAATAACCTTAAGTTATTTAAAAAATCGTAATTTTGTTTTGAAAAGTAATATTGTCAGTAATTTTTCTATATTTTACAAAATTAAAGCATCGAATTAGAAAACTCTGATATTAGGAAATTAGTTTTATTTTTCAATCGCGCATAACTTCTTCATTTTTTTATCAATTTTACAAAATAATGTATCATTTTCTTTGTTATGTATTAGAGAATAACGTCTATTGAAATTATTGTTGATAAATTTATTTTTTATTGTTGTATTTTACATAAAACTCTATATATATCACATAGGTCAATTTTGTTGTAAACTAGTGTTATTATTACACGACGTAATGAACACTACTCATTTCGAGCGGACCGACGTCGACTATTTCGGGTGACCATTGGCGTAGTGAGGTACAGGGGGGGGGCAACCGCCACCACTTAGAAGAGCGGTCGTTTGCTGTTAAACTGTAAATCTGAGATTTTGTGAAGAGCCTCGTAGATTGATTGTTAAGTAATAAAGATATTTCTGTTTGTTATATATTGTTTTATTGACTACCTTACTACCTCCTTCTGCTCCTGTGACTCATATATATGTTAAAAACAAAGATCTAAACAATATATATATAATCTAGGATTTTCTTTGTCTGCCCCCCCTAATATACAATCCGGGCTACGCCCTTGCGGGTGACCCTTCGACTTCAACGACTTCGGCCTTCGAACGTATTATTAGTATTCAAAAATTTGTATTAAAGTTACTATATATATATATATATATAGAAAAAAAAAAGTTTCGTACCATATCGTTTGTATCACCAACCGCTTCGTTTCCACCAGCGATATTATAAAGATATATTACAAATAAACTTATAATAAATGAAAAATTGAATTCGTGTTAAAACAACGTAAATTTTCAATTATGATCAATGGATTGAGGTGATAACATAACGCGAGAGCATTGATGCGAATAATATCGGTAGAACGACCGAAACCGGGACGTGGAGCGAGACACTGATATTAAAGTCACATAGTTCAAAGACCAACTTACGCGTGTGACGAAATACATCAGCGGCCGTTTTACCACGAATTTTGTAAAAAAAAAAATGATTTGCATTGGCTAGGTATTCGCGTTTTAGGGGAAAAAAACGAAACAGATTTCTGTGAAATCGAACATGGATCCCGGTGAGTGTCTTAGGGTCCGGAAGTACAGCAAAATAAGTAAATAGCGCCACAAAAAGTAAACAAAAATCGTCGGCCGGATCTGTTTGAAATTGGTTCAAATACTGACTCTCGGAGATTATAAAGTAACGAAGTCCAAATTCCGACCTGGGAGTGGTAAAGAATTCCCCTGCGATTGGAAAAATCATTTAGTAGTATTTGCGGAGTCACTATGAAACAAATAATAATAAAACCAACTATAAACAATAATTTTTACGGGCAGCCGTCGTCTCGTCGGACTGACGAAAGAGGGCGACAAAAGAGCAAACGTTAGTATACTATAGATCTGTACACGTGTACCGTTTAAAAAGTAACATTGAAATGAAATTTTAATTTTCGCAGGGTGTTTTATATGCAACAGCCCACATCACCTTAAGCGGGACTGCCGAAATAAAGGTAAAATAACCTTCAATTATCTTTCATGTGTTCAATATATTTATTTTTATTTTAGAATCGTTAAAAAATAAAATAACAATTAAAAAACGTTTGAAAATCGCGAGGCAAGAAGTCGCGAAATTGCGACGACTTCTTGAAGCGGCACAGGAATCGGCACCACAGCAACAGGAGGGACCACCACCTCCTGACATAGAAATGCCGGAGCAAGGTATGAGATGCATAGGTGTAACACAATTAGAGGTATAACTGTTTTGGTAATTGTAATATACTAAACGTTGCTTTTTCAAATGTTTAATGAGCAGTTCTGCCTCTAACTCCAATCCAATAAATCCGTAATAAACATACGATAAGTGTTATGTATTTAAAAGTACTTATTTTAAATAAAAACTAGTTATGTTATAAGTGTAAAAACTTTATTTTAAAAAATCATAACAGCATGTTTTTTACTAAATCTAAACATTTCAATGAGAGTAAGAACAATGCTACAAGCTGTTTAACAGTGCAGCCACTAATATATAACATGTGGGTACCATTGGTATCTAGATGGCATCACTGCCAGGGTCTGGAGATAGATAGTAGTATCAAGTATTATAAGAAGGGAAAATTAAGTCAAATCGTGAGTCGGCTAAGACGTGTCTCTATGTATATTCTTTATTTTATATTAGTGATGGGAAATATCGAATAGAAACTATCGAACTATTCGAATAGTTTTAAAAACTATTCGATAGTCTATTCGAATAGTTTATGCCAAAAATAAACTATTCGGTTGTATAAACAAAATTTGAATAGTTATTCGATAGTTTAAAATATTCGAAAATGCCCATCACTATTTTATATGTGTATTCTGTTTTATATAATATTTTTGTGTTGTCTGAATATTTTATATAGTTTTCGTGTGTAATTAAATATATGTGTTATTTTTGTTTGTTAACATTTAATAGTTTTTGTGTATTAATTTTTATATATAAATTAAATAATAGTATTGCGTCTTCGCTCTGTTCCTGTTTGCATTTCCCACATAACATCCTCCTTCTCTTAAAAATTTTTTTTTTTAAATATATTACAAAAACATCAACTGAGAAAAACATTAATTTGACACGACTTACGTCGCAAAAATGTGGTCGACACTGGTTTTGAGGGTAGAGACCCGTGGGCCGTTTATTAAATGAGCGACAACAGATTATGTTAACAAAAATAAAACAAACCGAAAAGATAAACACAGTAATAATAATCTTCGCATAATATCGCGGCACTTTCGCTGGCGTCGACGACGCGATGTAATCCTTGGACGCCAAAATGGGTAGCAGCGTTGTAGGCGATGGTGCGCGGGTGCGGTTCGGTTGGTCGACGTTGTCGCTTTCACAACGGGAGGAAGACTCTCGCACCATTTGCGGCGGGTCGTCGTCGGCCGTGCGGCATTTGCTGGACTTTGCACCGTAGCGTATAACACGCGGTGTTGGTCAGTCAAATACTCATAGTAGGGCGACGGCTGATAAAGGTGGCACGAGTCGCGGGGCACCGTGTATAACGAAGGGACGCGGGCCGTGTCAAATTCAAATTTAATATTATTTTTTTTTCAATTAAAAACATTAAATAAAGAACATATTTAATATACATAAATAAATAAATATAAACATTAAAATAATAATCTTACATAAATACAACTCAAACTTTGTATCTAGCTGGTAATCTTATTATTCTTTTTGGTCTATTCCTCCTTTCTTTCTGCTTTTTGTTTTCTGTTTCTACACTATTACTTTCCTCAGGTTCAGATTTTTTTTAAGTTAAATGAATTTCTCCTGTACTGACTACCTCTATCATCCCTTATAATATAAGATCTGGGTTCAGCTTCTTTTACTGTAACTCCTTTCACCCACTCTTTGCCTTTTTGCATTGATACATTTTGTCCTATCACAAAACTATCTCTCTCTTTAGTATTTCTATCATAATACATTTTATACTTCAATTTATTTTCACATAATTTATCATAGATATCACTTGGCACTTTAGGAACTAATTTATTTGTATGAATTGGTAATGCAGTCTTTAATAATCTACCCATTAGTAGTTGACAAGGTGCTAAACCTATTGACGGTATTGGTGTTACACTATATTCTAATAATTGATTCTCAAGACTAGATTTATCCATTTTCTTAAGTAACATTTTACCTATTTGTACAGTTCTTTCAGCTAGCCCATTACTTCTAGGGTAATGCGGACTACTGTAGCGCATTTCTATATTGTTAAGTTTTGCAAACTGTCTAAACTCAAAAGATCCAAATGGTACATTATCACATATTATCACTTGAGGAATTCCATGAGTTGAAAAAATAANCACTTTAGGAATTCCATGAGTTGAAAAAATAATTTTTAAAATACTAATAAAATGCAAAGCAGTTTTATTTTTTAATTGTTTAATCTCTATCCATTTAGAATAATAGTCCATTAAAGCAAGATAATCATTTCCTCCAAAAGTTAAAATATCTACCTCTACTTGTTCAAATGGTAAATCAGGTATATTTTGACCTATTAATGGCTCTTTTATATTAGACACTCTATATTTTTCACATATCTTACATTTTACAATAAAGTTTTCAATTTCATTAGACATGGCTGGCCAATAAAATACTTCTTTGGCTCTTAATTTAGATTTTACTATGCCTTTATGATCAATGTGTAATGCCTTTAACACTTTACCTCTTAAAACAGAAGGAACTACTATACGGTCTTTAAAAAATATGATACCTGAATCACTTAATATGTCATTTCTTAAATTCCAATAGTGCCTTATTTTTACAGACACATGCTCTTTACTATTGGGCCACTCTTTACTAAGTTCAAGTACTTGTTTTAAAACTGAGTCTTTTGCTGTTTCCTCATATAACTCACTTTTAGTTAAACTATTTTCACTATTAACAAAATGTATAGTACCTTTTATGTCAATCTCATTATATGTCTCGCTACTATGATTTCTAGATAACAAGTCCGCTACATACATATATTTACCAGGCAAATAAGTCAATTCTAAATCATACAACATTAACTTAAGTCTCATTTTTTGTATTCTATTTGATGTAATTTGACATAAATTTTTTTTACATATAGATACCAGAGGAGAATGATCTGTCTGTATAATTACCTTATAACCATAAATAAAATTGTGAAACTTTTTACAAACAAAAACTAACATTTCCTTTTCTATTTGAGGATAATTTTTTTCCGTATCATTAAGACTTTTTGAAGCAAATGCAACTGGTGTATTTTGTTGTAATAAACAACAACCTACTCCTGTACTTGAAGCATCTGTTTGTATAATAATAGGAAGATTAGGATTAAAATTTGATAAAACTGGGGCATTAGTAATTAGTGTCTTTAATTCATTTAATGCATTAGAATGATGTTGAGTCCACAACCATATTATATTTTTTTTTAACAACTCCCTTAAAGTTGATGTTACTTTAGACATGTTTGGTATGAATTCTCTTAGATAATTACACATACCTAGTATGCGTTGCAACTCTATTTTATTTTTTGGCTCCTTTAAATTTTTTATAGCTTCTATTTGACTTTCATCTGGCTTAACTCCCTCATTATTAAATTTCATTCCTAAATACTTTATTTCCTTTTGTCTATACTGTACTTTTTCTGGATTAAACTTAACATTCAATTCTTTTGCTTTGTTTATTACTTCTTCTAGCGCCTCATCATGTTCTTTTTCATTACTACCAACTATTAATATATCATCTATATATATAATTACATTTTTAATATGTCCAAAATATTTTGTTAAAGTCTTAAAAAATACTTCTGGGGCGCATGATATTCCAAAAGGTAATCTTTTAAATGCATAATACCCATATGGTGAGCTAAAAGTACACAATTCAATTGACTCCTCACTTAGCGGTATCTGATAAAAACTTTCTCTAAGATCTATAACTGTAAAAATTGTTTTATTTACCCATTTTGTTCTTATTCATCTACTGTAGAAATTAAAAAATAATCTCTTTTAATATACTTATTTAAATCAGTTGGATCCAAACATATTCTTAAATTACCATTCGCTTTTTCTACAATAACAATATTACTGGCAAATGACTTAGGATATTCAACTGGNAGCAAATGACTTTATTCCCTTATCACACAATGATTTCAGAGTATGATCTAACTTTTTAAGAATAGATTGAGGTACTCTACGTGGTGGCTTAATTGTACATTGGTAATCTGCCATTAACCTAATAGTATATTCCTCACCAAACTTACCCAAGCCCTGAAACACACTCTCATTTTCTTTTATAAATTGCTCTTTGTCTGAATATTTTTCTTTTAACTGAACGTCACTTACTCTTTTAATTAAATCTAATTCCATACAGTCAATTAACCCTAATAATGGTTCAACTTTACACTCAAGCTCTAAATCATTAATAACAACAAATTTTAATGCACAATTTTTATTATTAACAATACATTCTAACGTTATCTCGACAACTACTTCAATAATAAAGCCTCCATAAGCTTGTATTTTCACCTCATATTTTAGGATATTATAATTCTTATTTAACTTTTTTAAAATACTCAAAGGTAAAACATTCATATCAGAACCTGTATCAAGCTTAAACTTAATAACATTATTAACTAGAATTATATTTTCTGACCAAGATTCTCTAACAAAACTCTGACATATATTAACTTTATTAATAAAAAATAATTGGTCACTACTATTATTATATTCATTAGTAATAGCCCTAACCTGTCTATTATCATTTACATTATTATTAAAATTACTCTTATCTTTAACAATTCTTGCCTTACATCTTACAGTAAAATGACCAAATTTTAAACATATCTTACATTTTTGATTGAAAGCTGGACAACTCCTAGGACCATGATGTCGACCACATTTCTTACAATCATACATTAAAACACTATATAAAATAAAAGAATGTAATATTGCAGTTTTAATTTTATTTGACTTATTTTCCAAGTCATTAGCTGACAAATATAATTCATATTTTCTTTTAAAATTCTTAAAATTTTCCATTAAGTTACCTTGTAGCTCCAGCGGTCCTGGGGCTGGTACAAGCATTCCTCTCGACTGCGCCATGTTATGTATTCAAAAGTACTTATTTTAAATAAAAACTAGTTATGTTATAACTGTAAAATCTTTATTTTAAAAAATCATAACGGCGTGTTTTTTTACTAAATCTTAACATCTTAATGAGAGTAAGAACGATGCAACAAGCTGTTTAACAGTGCAGCCACTAATATATAACAAGTGTACAATTTTTTTGTTTCAGAATCCAATAGTGGGCGATAATATATTTTTCTGTTTTGTTTACTATTAAATTAAATAATTTGAAATGCAATCCGTGTTTATTTATTTGTTCCCACCATATGTATATAAAAGCATAATTGCGTAAGACAAAATTATGAAATGTTAATTCTCTTTTTGGTCGATACAAACTGATAAAGTAAGTGAATCTTTGTGTATGATAACATTAGCGTGCATCAAGTTAAAACCGATATAACAATATTACATACTTGAAATCATATTATATAAAAAAATTCATGCAGAAAGGGGTTAATAGGTTTTTGGTTACGTATGGAGAGAATGGCTTTAAATGCCATGGCGGTGAGAGATGTTATTGGCGAGCTGGATCAAGATTCTAACAATCACAGTATTATAGATATTAGCAGCGACTCGCTTTTTAAATTATTCGAACCCTGTTCCTCGTTAGCTGTTACAACCACGTTATCGATAGTAACTACTATGATAAAGTCGATAAAGCAGGGAAAAAGTTCGATAGAACAGTATATGAAAAAGTATATTACGTATAAAAATGCTTCTGCGCAATTTTTTGCGAAGAAGAAAATAGTAAAACATCATGACTGAGCTCCAGTCGAGGGTTAGGGGCAACGGCGGTCTAATTTTACGGTCATTGCAAACTAGAGGAAACCAATACAACTCTGACATGGATGCAACGCATTTGTTGTTACGTACTTCCTTGCTGAACGAAAATTACAACTTTCATTCATCATTTGATGAGTATTAATTCGTGTACTCTTAGTGGATACTTAACGACTTTGACGCCCAGACATATATTTGCTTGTTCCTAAATGCACACAAATATTATGAGTTATGATGCACCTTAAGACTTAGAAGCTAGTGTTTGTAACCAGGGCACCTCCACGTAGTGACGGAGGGCAACAGAAGTATCTAGGAAAGTTCCTGGGTTAACGACGTGTATGCCGTCATGGCAGTACAAGTGGTGAATACTTTACGATGCAGGGATTCGGAGTCCCAGTATCGGCGTCTGGTCAGGGTGAAAAAGCAGGTTCGCAGGCGTCGTTGTCATGCGACAGCAGCTCTTCAGTAGTGTACAACTTGGCTACTGGAGAGTATAATGTTACAGGATGTAAATTGTCTGATAACACAACAAGAACAATAAAGAAAAGTAGTCAAAAATCAATTAAAAGAACTGCGGGACTTTTAAGCGAGGAATTAGAGAAATGAAGGCTCTATATGAAAAATTATCCAGTCAGAGGCCAGAGAAGCTCGTTTGCAGTAAATACAGCAACGAAATGCTGAGTCCAGAAGATTAAATAGAGCTATTATGACGGGCTTCAGGCATACAATTAACACATTTTATGATGAGATATGTGAAATTTGCACTAAACGATACTTTCAACATCAAATTTCTAAGTGGATTGTAGATACTAAAACAGGCAAAAGCCTGACAAATTAAAACAAAAGAATTGCTTGCAATCGTTGCATGACACATTTGACTTCAAAGAAAAATGTTGCACCATCCAAGTCTTATTGGAATAATCTGGACCCAGGCTCTACTCTATTCCAGAAGTGATTGCGGAATTATCACAGGCCGAGCAGAGATTGATATCATGCATTATACCATTTGTTAAAATTATATAACTTAGCAGTGTATATGGGCAATATAGTTTTCGAAGTCAAGCAGTATTGTTCAGCCAGTAAGTTTTTGAAATTACTGAAAATCTTACCAAGATCCACAAATAATGCTAGAATAGTTTTCGTCACTGAGCGTCTTGAAAATATTAACCTTACATGACAGTTTTCAGTATCTAGGAAAAAAAGTATATGACGCAATCCATTGGTTAGTTGCTAACAATCCACTTTATAAGAACGTAACTATCGATCGATAGGAGTGTTGAAGAGAAGAAGCACCACTAGAAGTTGCTGAGAAGACTAATGAAGAACCTACCGAGGGGGAACTAGTGTTTACACGAGCATCAGCGATTTTGCGAAAATTGTACGTGCTTCATGGCATCAAAGAAACGATGCCATATATTCACATCAGGATATGCAGGCATACAATCCTGGTGCGATGGCTTTGACCAACATCCTAATATTCATACATCACAACACTGGTCGACTAACACCCTAAATGATAACAGGTGACCAAATCTACAGCGAAATAAGATTTCATACGGAGAGATTCATCGACATATCCTATTGAAGATTATGGTGCGAAATTTCAATGCGGTCAAAGATGATTTGATCGCATTTGGCATAAGATTTGAGATCACCTTTGATGATGAACCCAGAATATATTATGGAAATTGGAATGATAAGTATAATGTAGCAAACCCTTCATCAAAGTTTGGAAGATTTCTTCGTGGTATATTATAGCGCCGGCATATAGATAATAGGTGGACAATCATTTCGAGTGATTTATTACTACAATGGCAAATATTATTTCAGCAATTCACACTCGTGTGGTCAAAAGGGATCCAGTGCGAACGACAGCAACGGTAAAGCTTGCATCATCAAATGTGATAATTACAAGTTTGCGAGGATCTATATAAACGTGCAACAGACAGCAAAAATGTACACAGTATTCTAATGATTACGTTAATGTCGAAATCATTAATATAGATAATGGCCCTGAAGAAACAGAAACACAACAGAGTATTGCGACGTTAACGACGACAGCGTATGAAACGATAATTTCACAACAAGAATGAACTAGTCAGATAATTCCACTGTAGACATCAGTGACGGCACCGATTGATGCAACCCAATGTGAAAGATGAAAAAGGATTCACGGAATCTCAATGAGATCACCCTTAAAACAAAGGACAATATCGTTAATGTGGAACATGAACTGAAAGAAGAATTTGCCTGGTACTTCTTTTATTTCCTTATGGAAAGTACAGATTTAAAGAACATAGACCCATAAATATTTCAGCATTAGATTACTTTCAGTTTAGAATTTTGGGAAGTGATACCAGATTTCAACGCAAAGACTGTCTCTTTTATACCTTATCCTTCTTTGAATATTATTGTATCAAAAGCACTATATAAGCATGTGGTAAGAAAATCGTTAATCGAAAAGGAGCAGGCGTAGAGTCATCCATCATATGTGAAAAATTTGAGGTTCTGCAGCTTATTGGATATCAGCTTTGAACGAGCTATATTAGCTCAAATCAGATATTTAGGAGGCTACAACCTACTTTGTAACATTTAACTCAAATGATGTCAACAGATTACATCAACGAAAAGCTTTGTTAATAGTTGATGGTAAACCTGATGTTGATCCTATTACGCTCGACATTCATGAGACTCAAAGACTTATGGAAAAATACCCAGTAATTTTGAGTCGACATTTCTTGGTTAAAGTAAATGCTCTAATGAAATTTATCAAAAACAATGACGTATTAGGCGGCTACGTGAAAGACACAATTGGTAGCGTATTGAGTTCCACAATAGTGGCAGCCCTCGACTTTATGTGGCGATTTGGATTGAAAATCATCCAGAGTTTGACTCAAAAGAAGGAAAACTTCTTGATCGTAACTGTTGCTGTAGAATGCCTACAGAATACAGAATACAGAATAAGAGCTTCACGATATATTTAAAAAATGTCAAACGTATGCCGATGAATTTGACATTTCTTACATACTTGTACAGAAAATAATACCTCAGTAAGATACCGATTTAACTTTTCACGTCAAGAATGTAACACAAAATTTTTTTTTATGCCTGTTTCAGCATGTACAACAACAACGACCTCACATCACTGCCCCCAACTCCCTTCGCCAACGACGGCCCCTTCCCCTGCACCCGCAGCGCGACGGTACTCACCGTCCGAACAGAGGCCCGCGAGAAGCAGTACAGGGAATACATGCTGAAGTGTTATTGAGGAATAGTCGTCGGCGAGACGACACCCGCCGAAACCCGTCGAACCAACAACATAAAAAACACGTCGACAAACACAACAACGGACACGCCTACAGCACCAACGGAAGAACAATAGAAGAACCGCTGACGGAGGAACCTATGGAGCTGGAGGATGCAATTGATTTGTTCCTTTCCTGGCACCATCCCAAGGAGGAATAACAAGCAAACCCCTCTACCACCCTTGTTCGCAATATGCGATCGACAACCACCCAAGCCAACAAAAGCATAATCCCGTGCAAACAAACACCACTTCAAACAAACAACGGAAGTATTTGCGGCCTTCACCATTATAGGCGGTATCCGTTTCCGATTTGTAATCGCGCCGCCTGTTATTCAAATCACCAAATAGAACACCGCGGCTTGGCGGGGGGGTGGGTTTATTTGACACGGGACATCTTTATCAACCGTCGCCCTACTACGTGTATATGGTGGTAGTTTGACTGACTAACACCGCCTGCAATACGCCACGGTACAAAGTCCAGCAAATGACAAATTTCATCTACGAATAATATACGTCGAGTTATCTTCGTGACACTACACGGTTCAGATCCGCGACACATATTGTTTTTTTGGTTTTACGGACTCACGCTCTATTAATATTAGTTTGTATATTTTAATATATTGTAATCGTCTCTGTTCATTGGATTTATTATTCATTTTTAATCAAATATTTTAATTGTGTGATAATCGTGATCATAATAAACGGCTAAACGCCATTTCTCTTTTACAAAACCAGATGTCGATTATTTAATTATCTAACGACTCTAGTCGCAACAAGTGTATTGCAATTCAACAAAAGTGGACACGCAACTAGCTATTGTAGCAATATCTTTGAAAAATATAAAAAACGTCCATTACAACAATACCCCGACTACGATTTTGCGAACATGAGCCTTACAGAGTTTGCAATGTTGTTTGAACCATTTTATACGAAAAAAGGTAAGCGAGACCGAAGAATGTATGTTAATCATAATACTTATAAAGAACATCCAAACAAACGTAGCCAATTTATCACCTTGTTAAATAAAAGCAAAATTGTTGTGAGAAAAATGTTCCCGCAGTTGAGAGGAGGGTACCATACTTTATACAGTAAATCCATATCAAATCATCCAAAGTCGTTGCGCAACCACTTTATTTTTTTTTTTTGAAATTGTACACACAAGTGTCTAGTATATAAGAAAAAATCAAAAAAAAAATTAAAAAAGTTTTACGAAAATTTATTTTATGACTTATCAAAAGTTTTAAATTATGAAATACTTGTCATTCGTAAAAATATCTTTATGATAACAGTATTTATACTTAAGACTTGAACCTTTCATCATTTTTTTTTATGTGATACTCTAACCATAATTACTAACAATTTTTTAAATTTTAAGTTAGAAAATTTTTTTTCCTAAATATTAACGTACACTCACAGTAATATTTAATTGTGTTTTGAAACATTTTACTCTTACAGTTTTTTATTGGAACATATTTAAAAATGCTCGAATTTCTAAAAAATCAATTTTTAAGCCTTTTTATTTTAATTTTTCTATGGTGGAACAAAATATTTTAATATGATTTTTTCACACGATATAGTACTATCTATGTATGTAGTATCTACAATAAAAATTTCAAGTTTGATATTTGACCGCAAATTACGAAAAATTAACATCCAAAATGACGTTTTTTTTTTTTTAAGTTTATGAAAAATCTTTTTTTTTTTTTTAATACTAAAAACTTTCTGCATTTCCATTACTTGGTGTTTTTGTGTCTTCATAGGTTTATATAAATAAATTCCTCAATATATTGAGTACATGAAAAATGTATTAAAATATATAGCAATACCAAAAACGTCTACTACTGTGTAATTTAAATGAACTATACGTAAAATTTAAGATAGTTAATCCAAACTTGAAAATTGGTAAATCAAAATTTTGTTCTTTAAAACCTAAGTGGTGTATATTAGATGGGTCATCGGTCACACATACCGTTGCGTTTGTGATCATCATCAAAATGTGAAACTCAAGACAGAAGGAGCTTCTTTAAAATATTAATACAAAAATTACTTGATTTATTTGGTATGTAATATTGATAACTATAATTGCATGATGGGAGAGTGTGATATTTGTTTAATTAGAAGTGACTGTTAAAAAAAAATCACTCATATGAGTTAGACTATTGCTCAGAAAACATCATTTTAAGACAATGTCATATTTTGACGAAATTGAGATTATCGGGCCAATCTTTTCGTTTTTTCTTTTTTTATATTCTGATAAAACGGCTAATGTATTAGAAGGAGTGTGACCAACTTACATTCAAGATTGGCCATTTTAATTTTCGTCATTAAACATAACTATTATTTTGAAAAAAGGGCTTATCATTACATTGGCTAGATATCAATAAAATTATTAATTGAAAAAATGGCCAATGTGTAGTTAGGACTAATGGTATTGTGGTACAAACTGACTTCGGCCTTTTTCACATTGTTTACTGACAGATAACGTTATTTGATTATATTGATAATAAATTATTATATTTTTGATTTTTCATACTTTCTGGTCACTACTAAAATCTAAGTGTTACCATTTACTGTGTTTCTACGTAATAAGCTAATAATTATAAATGAAAATGTGATCAAATGCAAATCAAAACTATGAATTCAAGAACTAGACGGTTAATGCAAATGTGTCAAACTAGTAAGTTTATTCTATAACTATTGATAAGTATAAGTTAATTTTTTTTATGTAATGATAACGTAATAAATTTACCAGGTTCCACGTCTACAAATTCAAGTAAAAACGGAGAAGAATGTTATAGTACTGACTCAGATTCAATCACTGATATCAATGATTATTCATCAGATGAGAATGTCCCATGTAAAAATAAAATCGATAGTTATTCATTTAACTCGGATTCTGACAACTCAATTAGTGTTGAAATTAACGAAATTGATAATATTAACACAGAAATACAAAGTGATGCTTATTCTGAAAAATGTACTGTCAATATTGAACAAAATTGCACTTCTGAAGAACGTCATAATAACTTTACTTCTGAGCAAGAGATTAACAATATTGAAACAAATTATTCTGTAATACAGAGTTGTTCTGCTAGTACTAATATATCACAAAAGAAAAGGGGGACGTCAAAAACAAGAGGGTCCTAAAACTAGAAAACGTTTAAGTAATCCAAAAACATGGGTAAGAAATATTGAAAAATCAAAAAAAAACAAAAGGTGAAGAATATCTTAATACAAAGGGACAATTAGTTGCTAAAAAACCTTTACAACCACCATGTTCTTGTAGACTAAAATGCTCAGAAAAATTTACTCATGAGCAAAGAGAAAACATTTTTAAAAATTTCTATAACCTTCCAAAAGATAGTCAAATGCAGTTCATAGCTTCATCGGTTATTGAAACAAATAAAAAATTGGAAAGGCTCAGAAATGATAAAGAAATGATGAGTAGAAGAAATTTTTAATTATAATATAATAATTATACTAATAATGGGATATTTAACACAGAAAGATGGTAAAAATCAAGTAGACGAACTACAGCAACAGTTATCTAACCTGAATGTAGATGGACAGATAAAAATAGAAAAAAATGTCAGTAAATAAATAATTAATAAAAAACTAAATAATAACTAAGTATGCAAATAGTTCTTAATTTATTTTTAGTTTATTTTAATAATAACAAATTTGTTTATGCTTAACTTGATTGTCAAGTGTACAAGCTGGTGGTGCCCAAAACATTCAGGACTAGAAAAAATTATAAATTTTCTAAATCCAAAAACTGAAGAAGAAAAAAAATTTTTTCGTTTGGCCATTAATAGGAGGAAGTACTGGGTCAAAGACAATGAAGAATGTAGATTTCAATCATGATATTTTTCTTGGCAATTTTGAACAATCTAGATATTTACATCACTATTTAATAAGATATTATGCAAGATATTCAATTTTAGTTAAATCAATAATTTTCTCAGAAACTTGAAAATTATAAATATTTGTAAATTATTCAATTCAAAAAACCTTATTATCACATAATATGGGGTTAAATAACTTTTTTTTACCCCTTTGTCAAAAACTTTTAACTTAGCTAGTTTAAATAGGAAACCCTATGCTTGACTTATTAATATGGTAGAAAAAAAATTACAAAAAATACTATTAGTACAATTTTTTATCCGATCAACTGATTGTATTTAACAATTGTTTGAATTTCAAATAAAAATTTATCATTGATTTGGTTTTATTCATAGACTATTACTCTATGGTTTTATTATACTGTTGATATTGCCACCACCATAACAACAAAAATCTGTTTCAAAAGCACATAAATTACAATAATAAGTTTAGTAATACGATACCAACTTACTAATGATTTTTTATTGTCAAAACAAATTTTTTTCCTATCATATTAACAGATTAAAAATAGGGGTTCCCATTTATAAAAATTATAATTTTTTTAATAGTATCTGAGAAAATGAATTTCTTACACAAAATTGATCATCCTATATTAAATTAATAACTAAAACGAAAAATTGCTTACATAATAATTACAATTTCTTAAATTAGATAAAATGTTGTGTCCACGATAGAAAGTCTGGTAGTGACAAACATACAATTCCCCCAAAATGTATAGTGGAATACAAGAAATTGGCTCATATCGATTCCACATTCGAAGAAATGGTTATGGAATTAGGTATGAGTCAAACAAACGTTAATGAACCAAAAACCTATCGAAGAAAATATTCTTTGTCTGAATCTTCAAATGGCTCAAAGCACCCACGCTTTGTATATCTTTGTAGTATTAAAAACCTAATATTATTTTATTTTCAAAAATTTTAATTCTCAATAGTTTTTCAGAAAAGGAGTGTCATATCCTTCACTGATGTCCTCGTAAACATATACATTTATGAATAATAAATGACGCGTTAGTAAAAAATTGCAAATTATTTTAAAAAAATATTACTCACTAATAGTTGCAGTAATGAAATAAAACAACTCAATAATTCATATAATAAACTTCAGTAAAACGTTTTTTGTAAACATCTAATTAATGAAAGTTAAGCTTTATTAATAGAAGTAACCAGATGTGACTTTATGAATAGCTCATATGTATATTATACTTGGAACTTCAACATAAAATTTTGAAGAAAAACGTTCCATAATTTTTATAATATTAATAATAACGTATTATAATTATCATTTTTATCAAGTTTTTATTATTTTCATGTATAGTTTAACCAACATACTTGTTATTGCTGACGATTAGTACACAACACTCGTAATACAAAGGACTGTTAATAAATTCATGTAAAAGTCTAAGCACGATAATATTTAGAAGGTTAATTTTAGGTTATAATTGTATACGGTAGCATTTTTCAATTTACACGTGCAAAAACTTCCCTTTTTCCTTTTCCCGCTAAACAGGTAAAACCAAACCTTTTAATAATAAAGAAAAAGATAAGGACTGGATATTTTTATGAATCCTGGAAACAATGAATATTCAGTGTTTCAATACTTATTTACCAACTTAAATATTAAAAAACTTTTCAATCATTTTTCAATAAAAATAAATTATTTATAATTAACCCTTCCTAGAGATGTTGGAGTTAACTTATCCTTTTAAAACCTCCTATCGGCTATAAAAACTCAGTAAAGTTTCATCGCTATCAACGTGTACATTATTTTTATTGCAGTACGTTGGTATGTTAGTTAATTAACTATTTTAATAACTATCTTTACTACTTACACAATATCAAGAATCAGCTTATCAATAAAAGAGTACTAATTTCAAAATAAAGAGTAAATCAATTATCTAATTAGTTGTTATTTCATGTTAGAATTAATTTGACATTTATCACTGTTTTTAAGCTAAAATGATAGATTTAAATTCAAAAATTATTTTTTTGTATGTTAAATATTCTTAGATTTTCACTATATGACTACCAAAACCATATTAAATTTTATTTTGATAAATTAAACCATAAAAATTCAAATCACAGTTATTGCTTTTAAAACGATACCATTTTCAATTTTTTAATGCTGTACAAGATACAAATTAAACTTAATACTTAATCAGTCAATTATACGTATAATATTATTTACATTTCAATATTATTTTGTATTAAAATAAAAAAATAAAATTGTAAAATTAAAAATTACAATTTTAAAGAGAATTTAATCAACTATACAGAAATTTGTGTACTTAGAAATAATTAACAACTATCAAATACTAAATTTTTTGTGGGCCTCAAAAAAATGACACTATTGCTCCTTTGTCTATTAAGGTAAGAGTTGGGTCAGTATAATACACAAAAGTATAAGTATTATATGTACATTAGGGTGGCCCTCAAAAATCGAATGTGTTTTTTTTTTTTACGCTACCCCTTAATTTTTTTTTAATGGTCAAAAAAATGAGCTGTGCAAAATTTGGGACCGATCCGTTAAGGTTAACCCGTGCCTATTAAGTTGAGTCGAAGAGTCAAATTTAATAGAAATAACTGATCTATGTCTCATAACTTTTTTTTCTCTTAACTTAGAATAATAAAAGTAAAACTCAAGTAAAGGAAATTTTACAAGAAATTCAAAAATAACTACAATGTTGTTTTCTCAATAAATAGCCCACAAAAACACTACATACAGTAAAAACATGTGAAAGTCTTAAAATACGTTATAACTGATTTTGTTGATTTTTAATTATTTATTTTCATTTTATTTTTTGGAAAACGCATATTCGTTTAAAAAAAGATTCTAGAAGTTTAATTTTTTATGCCAAGTACGATAATTATATTAGATTTATTATTTTATGGACAGTTAATTAATGATTAATTACAAACCTAACAGTTTAATTTAATTGTTATTAACAATTTTTAATTTATTTTTTTTTAAATAATAATAACTTTAAAAAAAATATTTTAACAATAATTAAATTATATTATTATAATACATTTTTTGATAATGTTACTCCAGAAATGATACAGTCTGTCACGGTTGGTATGATAAATAGGCTAGAGAAATGCATTTTAAATAATGGTGCACATTTTGAAAACTTTTTGTAAAAAAACTAATGTTTTTCAACTTGAATGTTATTTTTATTAAATTTAATTTAAAATTATGTTAATTAATGATCTTAAATTTTAAATAAATTTAATTTAACTGAAAAGCGTAAATAATTTTCATGGAAAGAGTTACACACCTCCAAATTATAGTTATCATGAAATGATAGCGTTTTCTTCTGTCCTTTTCTCAATACGTATATTAATGTTTAATACCGTAAAATAATACATAAAAATTCAAATTTTCACTAACTTCAAAACGCTACAGTATATTTACTACAGAATATTAATAAGATATTTTTTTACTAAAATTTTTCTTAAATTCTACTCTACAAAATAGCTATCTTAGATTTTTTTTTTACATTTTATTTAAAATTTAAAAATAATTAATTTTTTTAATAAAATGTAAAAAAATTAATTATTGAGATATAGCTATAGACCTAACGTNTAATTAATTTTTTTAATAAAATGTAAAAAAATTAATTATTGAGAAATAGCTATAGACCTAACGTATAACTATTATTTAAAAAAAAATCAGCTAAAAATATTAACTGGATCAAAAGTTATTTAAGTTGTCAGTGAGTGGTGGGCCACCCTGTATATATAAACAAAAGTAAAACATATAGCAAACATAAAAAGAAAAAACCTTATTGTCTATCTTATTTGTATTTTTTTGTTAAATAAAAGAATTTTATTTAAATTAAGATAGTTTTTTTATTTTTTGAGTTAGTAGCACAATCTAGCTTTAGTAGCTAGTCGTTCAGTATTTGTTGCTAAGCTTTTGTAGCTTGAACGTTTACTGTTAGGCTTTTGTTGTAACAAAATATTACGGTTAATACTCATTAATATTATTATAGTTTTTGTAACCCGATTTTTAAATTTCTTTAATAGACAAGAGTAATTTTCGTTCTTAATTAAAAATGGCTTAGAAAATTAAAATAAATAAAATTGCACAATTCATTTCTTCTGAATATCCCAATATTAATTATAATAATTTATCAAGGAGCCATAGTTAAGGAAATTTGCATCGGTTTTTTTTTTTAACATTAATAACATTAAGAACACTAATACAACTTAAGTTAATTCTTTAAAAAATGAGAATTCTACTTTGCACAAAATCATTACATTTATAAGATTTAATGGACAAGAAAGTATTACATCAGATTTATGTGACTTGAGCGCATAATAAGCAATTGTAAGAACATTTATTACTATGTTCTTACCAATTATATTACACACGCTTTATTTCCATTTATTTAAATCGTAATACATATTAATTAGCATAGAGGGAGAAGCTGATGTGACTATTCTACTCGTCTGCAGCCCAAAGCTACTGACGTCGAACTAACAAAGGGCAGTTGTGTATGAGTGGCCGTTATAGACATAGTTTTCAATACTATTACTTTCGTCTTATTTATATTATTTATAACTTAACTTGTTTTATTCAACGACCCGTCTATCACCAATTATCATCATAGCCAACCAACTCCGTCTCACTTGGATATACCTGCTAACCAACTGTACTAGGATTCAGGTCAGACGAA